CTCTGCGTCTGCAAACATTTCTTCGTAATGACTATTAACATAGTATTAATATTGTGGTTTAAGATATTTATAAAAAATGAATGTAAGTTTATTTACCTTTGGAAAGTTCTCCATCAAGGATGGGTGAGCCATCATCTGCCTTTGCAGCCTCCAGATCAGTCTAGCACTCCGTGTCTGCACACATTTAATCATTGTGACAATTAATGTTGTGGTTTAAGATAATTATTTAACAAAAAAACCCTGAAGATTATTTACCTTTTACAAAAATTGGAGACCCATCATCACAGAGAACATCACCCGACTTTGCGGCCTCCTCGATGCAGGCCTGCTCACGTGCCTTAGCTCTTTCCTCCCTCTGGTGTGATGCTTCTGTTTGTGGCCTCTCATTACACTTTAAGTAACCCAGGTTAAGAGTAGGGGCCCAGTCTTCAGAATCAACATCTGTTACTGCACTAGGACAACCTAAAAATGTAAAATAAGGTATAAACGCCACATTGCAACCTTAAGCTAACTGCTAACAACATTAGCACTCTGATACTTGTCATGTGTTAATTGTACTGCAAATGGCTATCAAACTGCTTACCTGCCCTTCTTACAGCCGTGTGGCTAAAACACTGCAATAAAATGCCATAAAAACATTTAGTAAACCCTTACCTGTGAGAAAGTGATCACTGCAAACTCTGGCATTGTCCGATTCCGCTCCTCCTGTTTTCAGCCGGAGATTTTTGATTCACTTCTTCCATCGTCTTTCAATAAGTTTTTGTAAATTAAGTCCTTGGTGGCGGCGGCGCACAACTTTCGGGACACGAAAAAAACTTTTGTTTTTTTCCCCCCGATTGGAGCGATTGCTACAACCGTAGACTGCACAGACTTTGGGCATTTTGAGGCAGAGTCAACAAAGCAACAGTTTCTGTTCAGCGGCGTCTACGTCCTGACCCCCACGAATGACACTCCCACAGTGACGTAGATGCAAAGTAGATGAAACGTCATCTGAAACCCAAGACTAGAAAGAAGTACAACACCTGTTCCCTTCCCCTCCGGCTCAGCTGTGTGACCGGGGGGTGGGTGGTTGGTTGGTAGGGCTGGGGGTAAACGATTAGTTTTAAAATGATTATTCTGACGATTATTTTATCGAATAGTCGACAATTCTAATGACTATTTAGACGATTAATCTAATTATTATTATTTTTCTATTGCACAATTAATAAAAACCAGAAAATCTCTAATAAATTCCTCAAAAAAAGTGATCAATTGGTACTGTAATAGAATAAACACTACAGGCCTTCTATTTTGTGTAACACTGCTTTTATTGTGCTGCGGTTGGTTATGTTCTGGTGACATGTAAAACATGGGGGTGCAGGCTGCTGCCTGAGAGCTGGTTGGAGACGGAGTGTCTCCATGCTGCTTTCTTTTGGTCACTTATGTGCGTGAGGCGAGTGGTGTTACGACCCTTCCTGGGGAGTTTGGCTCGTGTGCAAAAAGGAAGGGTCAATAACGGGATTTAAAAGTTTAAATGATGATCAGGTTTATTTACAACAACAGCAAACATAAATCTTTCCATCCACAGGTTGGGAATAATAAAACTAATTCTGCCTGTGGGGAATTAAAACAAAAGTACAAATAAGTAGGGATGTCCCACTGGGCAAAGATTACTGAGTTCTGGACCAAAATAAGGATCTCCAAAGGTCCAAACTCTAAACTAGGTGGTTAAACCAAACTCAAGGTGATATTTTAAACTAAACCAAAAACCCACAACACACTAAATGTAATAAAAGGGAGATCTACACCACAAAAAAGATTAACTCTAAACCAACACGTAACAGCTTATCCAAACGCAAGAAGCTCTTAGCGAAGATGCTAACAGTAGCTTTACCAACGTTAAGTTCAAGTTACCAAGTTTAAATAAACCAAAAACACCCAGCAAACAGACCAGCACGGAGGAGAGACTGCTACCACCAAAACAGCTCTCCTAATGTCTGAAAGAAGCTCCTTTATGAAGGGAGAAACGCTCCCGGTGATTTTCTACATCTGCGGTAGAGACGGAGCAGCGCATCTGACCCCGGAAGTTGTTGTCCGTTGCCGGGAGACGAAGGCAGGCAAAACAGGAATCTAGTAGTGAACGGACATTGTTCTGGGTCTTCTGTATTTGGTGGAGATGTTAGTGAAGGTGGAGAAGAGGGCGAACTAGAGGAAAAACTGGCAGATTCCTCCTCTATTTACAAACTCCTGGGGATGCAACAAGTGGGCGTTGTGCATCGACTATCGGAGCTGACGTCGACGAATTTATAGAATCGAGCCGTCAACATCATCGACGCTTCACTACAGCCCTAGTGGGAGGGTGCGCTTAGCTGCTCTCATGTTGCTGCTGGCTGTGAATTTCACCATCGCTCTATGTCACGGCGCACCTCCCGTTCGCCCGTCGTCCAGGAGGTTGCGCGCGGGGTTCGGGGGCCACAAAGAGGGGGCTCACGGGCCGCCTATTGAGGACCACTGCTCCAGAGGATCCTGGATCAGTATAAGCAGCCATCCGCCACGACTCACTGGGGATCGAGAAGACAGATCACACACACACACAACTTTACAACATATATACCAAGTAGTGTTTCTATGGTTACATTGTGATTTCTTAGTAAATATTCTATTTAGTAAGAGATAAACTTTATTGTATTTATCCTAGTGAATCAATAATTAATTCAACAGGTAAACTAGTAGTAAGTAAGTAAGTAAACGTTTATTTATATAGCGCCTTTCACAGATATAAATCACAAAGCGCTGTACAACATGATAAAGATCAGGGCAAATACCTGAAACCAATAAATACATCAGAAAAACAATAGCAGTGATAAAGTAGAAAATAAAATCATGAGTATAAACAAAGTGAAGGTGTGAACCCGAACAAAGCCATCTTTTTGAACATTTAGGGAGGGAACGCCTGGATGAAAAGGTGAGTTTTTAGATGATTTTTAAAGACCTCTACAGTGTTAGAGAGACGGAGATTTGAAAGTAGACTGTTCCAAAGTCCGGGGGCAATAGTCTGAAAGGCCCTGTCCCCTTTGGTTTTCAGTCTGGTTCGAGGAACAGCCAGGAGGTTTTCAGATGTGGATCTAAGGTTCCGAGAGGTGGTGTGTGGGGATAAAAGCTCAGATAGGTAGCTTGGAGCCTGGTTGTTAAGAGCTCTATAGGTCAGGACTAAAACTTTAAACTGTATTCTATATTCTACCGGGAGCCAGTGGAGGGACTGTAAAACTGGAGTGATGTGAGCTCGTCTGCTGGATTTGGTTAGGAGTCTGGCTGCTGCATTTTGGATGGCTTGAAGGCGTGAGAGGGAGGTTTTGCTGAGACCAGTAAAAAGAGCATTACAATAATCTAAGCGTGATGACACAAAGGCATGGATGATTTTTTCCAGATCTGCAGTAGAAACCAGTTTACGGACTTCTGAAATGTTTCTCAGTTGAAAGAAACAAGAGCGGGAGATGGTTTTGACGTGTGAGTCTAAACTTAAAGCTGGATCAAAAATAACTCTCAGGTTTCTAATGTTGGCCTTGGCTGATGGGCAAAAAGAGGCAATTTCTTGCTCGATTTTTGGCTGAAGTTCCGGGGGTGCAGCGATCAGGGTCTCTGTCTTGTTAGCATTGAGGACAAGAAAGTTGCTGGACAGCCAGTTACTGATATGGGTCAGGCAGAGTACAAGTGTGGCCAGCCTGTCCAACTGGTGTGGCATAAAGGACATATAGAGCTGAATATCATCAGCGTAGATGTGGTAGGAGATGTCTGGGAAAAGACTGAATGATGCCAGCTAGGGGAAGAATATAGAATGTGAATAGTAGAGGCCCTAGAACTGAACCTTGTGGGACCCCGCATGTTAGAGAGGCAGTATCTGAAGAGAAGGTTTCGGACTTCACTGTGAATGTTCTGTTAGTGAGATAGGAAGAGAGCCAGTCTAGAGCAGAACCTGAGCTACTACTAGTAGCACATTCACTGTCAAAGTGTGTTCCAAGAATAAAATTACTAAGAATAAATGGTGCTCTTTGCTAACCGCTTCATTTTTTAGCACATTTGTTTGGTCATTTGACAAATTCATTTCTTTTTCTGCGGTTGCCCGGTAAACATATTCTGATAGCAGCGCTCTTGCGCCCTCTAGTGGCACAAACTATATTACACCCCAGCACAACAGAAGGATGTGAAACAGTTAACCGGACAAAACTATTTTACCTGGTTACCACATTAACGGCCATTAACTGGTTAACTATGTACATCCCTAGTTCCTCTACTCCAGTTTTTCTACTCTATTTACATGGTGACAAGTTTGACTAAATGCCGTTCACAGGGTGGTTTGGACTATTAGGAACACAAAACATTTTTGGAAAAAAATTGGAATGCAGATCAAAATTAAATCAAACATTATACGTAAGACAAGGCATAAAACATCCTTTTTAAAATTTTAATTCTGTCTTATTTTCACCAATAAACAATCATCACATAGAGATCCAATGGATTGGGTCAACATAATAAATATTAATCTGAGATTTAGGAGTAGCTCAGAGTAATACAGTCCTAAAATGCTCGTCTAAAATGAAACGCTGCTGTTTTTAAATCCTTTCCGTACCTTTTAAGGTTTTCATTATTAATGGAGACAGAAATCAGCATTCATGCAAATCCTACAGTTTACAGATACAGGGGGTGGATTATAATAGCCTGTTGTACCCTGATAGAATTAGAATTAGATCTTCTCCCTGTAATCACCCTGATAACCAAACATGCTGCTACGTTTACATGTGTTTTTATGTTTCGGGTTGTAGTGATTACTTCAGGCTCTGGTTACCTCTAAGAAGGCTGCAGACTAAGCTGAACTTTGTTTGAAATATTTTACATTATTCTACTCATTTGGAAAAATAGTTTGTTTACAATAAGTAGAACAAAATCTGTAATTTGGTCTGTATCTTTTTTTCAGTGATAGCTTTGTCTGTAACTGTGTCCCTGTCCCTTTGTTGTGTCTCTAGTTCTGCTCTAGATACAGTCCTCAGCATACCAGTGGCAGTGAAGAAGCTCTGTCGGCCCTTCCAGAACCAGACCCATGCCAAGCGGGCCTACAGGGAGCTCGTTCTACTCAAATGTGTAAACCACAAAAATGTAAGACTCAGCCCTAACGCACAAATCTGTCGTTTCTACCTAAATATGGGCCTGGTTTTAATTATTGAGAGTCAGTACATCGAGTCATGAAAGATTGTGGAGGTTTTGGTCCGAAGCTGACCCGAAGCTGAGGCATGAAGTGCTTTGATTGATCTAAGTGACTGTAGGAAGTGGAGAGAAGAGGAGTGGATGTACATGTAGATGTGAGAGTAACAGAGTGAACTAATGGCCTGTCTCTCTGTCTGCAGATCATCCGTCTGATCAATGTGTTCACGCCTCAGAAGTCTCTGGAGGAGTTCCAAGACCTGTGAGTTACAGTAGAGCGTTTTTTAGTGCCCAGCTTCAGTTTCTCTGTAGTGTGGCCTAAGTGTTTCTATCATTTTAACCTTATCCTCTCTCGTTTCTCACGAATATTTCTGTGTTTATTTATTTGTACCTGTTCCATCTTTTACCTGTCTGTCCCTGTCAGGTACCTGGTGATGGAGCTGATGGATGCCAGCCTGTGCCAGGTGATCCACATGGACCTGGACCATGAGAGGATGTCCTACCTGCTCTACCAGATACTTTGTGGCATCAGGCATCTTCACTCCGCTGGCATCATCCACAGAGTAAGTCCAGGTGATGTGCAGCGTCATGGAGACGTCTGCCATTTTAACCACCCAGCATCTGTCTATAAACCAGTAACCTGTGTGATATTTTCCTGTAGATTTATAGATTTTCTGTTCCTTCAGGATCTGAAGCCCAGTAACATTGTGGTGAAGTCTGACTGCACCCTGAAGATCCTGGACTTTGGTCTGGCCAGGACGGCGTGCACTAACTTCATGATGACTCCTTACGTGGTGACCAGATACTACCGTGCCCCGGAGGTCATCCTGGGCATGAAGTATAAAGAGAATGGTAAATAAAGTTGTTAAAGCTACTTTAAAAAAATCTTACTGAGTGTAATGCAGTCATGCCCTTACTGCCTTAACTGGTTATTGATCATACTGTTGAATGCTTTTACCTCTCTAACACCCTGCTTCAGTGGACCTGTGGTCAGTTGGCTGCATAATGGCTGAAATGATCTCTCACAAAGTCCTCTTTCCTGGAAAGGACTGTATCCTTCCCTTTTGGTCTTTGGTAACTAAACACTTGTTCTTTTAAGCACATGAATATGATAATGAGATCTTCCAAATGCCAGCTTGGAGGTTGTCAGTTTTTCTCCTTTGCAACCAAACAAAATAGAGAGGTGCACAGAGAACTAGTCTGGTAACTCACAGGCAGAGAGGCACATGAGGGGCGGGACTAAGCAGCTCAAAAAGAACCAATCAGAAAAAAGACGGAAATCCCGACTGTACCGCTTGACGCTGTAGTTTTCTAGTTGTAGTAAAAAAAATAGCGTCTGGTAATGGCGCAAACATCTTTTTTTATGTTTTATTTTTTAGTTTTAGTTTTTTTTTTTTTAGAAGAAATGCTTTTAGCGCTTCTACTTGTGGTTGTAAAGACATTCAAGTCATTTAGAACAGAGGAAAGAGCCGCAGCGAACTCCGCTGCTGTCTTTGTTGTTTATGAGAAACTGAGCATCGCTGTGTGTGACGTCCGCGACGCTGTAGTTTTTTAGCTGTAGTCAAAAATGGCGTCTGGCGACAGCGCAAACATCTTTCTTTAGAAACAAGGCGTTATGCACTTCTACTTGTGTCCAACTTAGGGCAGGGCGATATGGCAAAAATAGAATATCATGATTTTTCCAATATTTTATCACGATTTCGATTTTATCACGATTTTTTTATCCATGAATAGCATAACTTCAATTGCGTATTAAAGAAGAGAAACATTGAATAAATAAACATTTATTCATATTAGAGATAATCAACACAGCGCTAACACACTTATATTTTAAACTCACACCAGAGATGATAAAAGCCCTGAGAGAAACAATTACAAAAATCTGTTTTTCTCGTTTTTCAAGTAACTTAACATAAATTAAAATCGTAAACATATTTAAAGTGCAAACATGTCAATTGCAAACGTATTGTGCAAACATTAACTTGTTCAAAATACTATATAGCTCCCAGTTGCTCATGTAGTGGATAGTTAAGCTCAAATACGGCTCTGATGTGCGGCTGGACCAGAGATCGCTTGTGGCAGCAAATAACTGCGCATTCTGAATATTTTCTGCAACAAGTCTCTAAATAAAGTAAAATTTTCCAGTGCAGATTGGAGACAACCCACAGAAGCACTGATTTGATCTCATTTCAGAGAAAAATAGAACAGGTTAGATGCACCTAATAAATAAAATTACTAACATAAACTCAGGAATCTTTCTTTGCTTCACTGTTCTGGTGCTGAAAATATCACTAATGCGGATCAAAGGGGATACACAGATGAATGAACCTCCTATTTATTATTTGGAAACTACATTTACTGCAGCTGGCAGAGGCAGAGATTGTTTCTATTGATACACGGAGTTTACAGAATCATTTTAAATGTTAATAGGGGAAGACTGCAGGAGGGAGCGGTGAAATACAGGGGGTCCCCCAGCAAAAACAAGAAACTACGAGTCTGATGAAACCTGCTGGTTTTCCATTAGGCAGTCACGGGGCAGCTCCAGCGACCCAGTGACCGAGCTCAGTCGGTACCGACACCGGCTCGGCAGAGGGTGGACGAGCCAAGGCGGCGTCGTGCTCTGCTTAAGAAGTGTTATCTTCCTGCTTCAGAAGAAGCGTCCAACGTGTTTTTACGCTTTCTCCGAGACATGTCACGTCACTAAGCTGTTAGCGCCGCACGCTAAGGAAACCCTGCGTTCCTCTTCGGAACGAAAACCTCGTTGTCGCTCAGCCGCGGCCGAAGCCATGTTTGTTCACACACAAATGCAAACAAGCGGGCCACTAATATATTACTGTGACTCATTCTGATTGGTTAAGGGTCAAACAAAGGCGTGTCATTCGCCTGGGGTAAGTTCCCTTTTCATTCAGAGGCAGAAATTCAACAGCAGAGCTGTGAATCGTGATAAAACGGTCTCTCAAAAATGACAGACCGTCAGATGTGTAGATCGTAAAACGGTCTAAAATCGTCATATCGCCCAGCCCTAGTCCAAGTCATTTAGAACAGAGGAAAGAGCCGCAGCGAACTCCGCTTCAGTCGCCATGTTTGACAAACTCAGCATTGTGGTGTGTGACGTACGCTACTCGGCACTGATTGGCTCGGTTAGAATTCTGATGGGGTGGGGTTATTTGAATAGGAGAGTGCCCAGACTCTTTCTCTGTGCAGAATTACACAGAGGAGGAGTCTGGCAGGCCAGGCTAGAGATGTCGTCCCACCAGGACACCACACAAGACAAATCACAAACTTCAGGGCTGAAATGTTTCTGCTATGTGGGACATTTTCTACTGGCAAAGAGGACTTGAAAGTAAAACCCACAATAAAAACACATTTTCTTACCAGAGATGTTAAAAACACGTCCTCACCACTGAGGTCCTCTTTCGTTTCCATGGTGGAGCTTCATACTAACCCTCTGAGCTGCTGGAGCCGTGGGGTTGATCCGTCCTTCAGCCGGCTCTCCTCCTTTCCTTTCAAGCTGAGATATGAACAAGAGTCGTTTTACAATCCTGTGGCAGGAAGTGTTTGTGATCCTGAGTCTGTGTGGTTTTGATTTTGTGGGTCCCAAGCTGAACAGACGGTTCAGTACAGTCTTGTTAAGGTGGTCCTCATCACACTGTGGTTGTGATTTTGTCATTCAGATTTGTGAGTGCCCAGCACAGAATTAAACCCAAATATGACGATGTAGAAACCCAACATTCAGGATCCCCGAGTCATAAAAACAATACATTTGTGATTGGTGTACTGTCTATGCAGACTCTGCAGGACGAGAGAGACGGAGCTTTCAGCCTCGCTGAAACTCCAACAGAGAAACCAGCAAATGTCCATTTACCACTTATAAACGCTCTCATGCAAGCAACCAACTCAGAGCAAGAGGGAAAGACAAACTACAGCATACACACACACACACACACACAAGAGGTAAAGCAAGAGAGAGAGAGCAGCATCTGTGTAAACTGATAAGCAGAGGCTAGGAGAAAAGCCTGGAAGGCTGAAGATGAAGCAGCAGACATCACACTGCAGCAAGAAGGAGCTGGTGTTCAGCATCCAAATGTTCATCCCTCCCCAGACCACCCTCCACCATTCATCTGTGTGCATTCTTGTTCCACTGTAGTGTACATTTTTGTTATTTGTGTGTTTTGTTTTTTCTTTACAAGATTATTTTAATTGAATATCTTTCTCTCTCTCTCTCTGTGCGCGCGTGTGTGTGTGTGTGTGTGTGTGTGTGTGTGTGTGTGTGTGTGTGTGTGTGTGTGTGTGTGTGTGTGTGTGTATTCCCAGTGGACATCTGGTCAGTGGGGTGCATCATGGGAGAGATGGTAAAGGGCAGCGTCATTTTCCAGGGCACCGACCGTATCCTTCACGTCTCCCATTGTCTCTGCTGCTTGTTGTGCGTTCATTACAGCTTTGTGTTTTTCTGTTCCTCTCCTGTTGGGTTCATTTACAGCCCACCCTTTTTTAAACAGACCCATGTGTTTCCTGTTCCCCTCACTGGTTATTAATCTGAGCTTGTGCTTCAGTGGCCTTAATTGTTGAGTCAAATCGAAGCACTTCACATCATTTGCATTTATATTGTTTGTCTCTGTCTCTTATCAGTTTGTTACCTCTCTCCCCAGCGGTTACGTCTAGAGCAGCTTAGGTTGCTTTTTTCCTGGGAGTAATGTCCTCCTCTAGCTATGAACTAGCAGACTGTATCTGTATTTTAGCCTGGCTAAAATGGATTCTGTCCAGCTGGTTGGTGCCATCCAGAATCTGAACATCCCCTTGGCTGAGCTGAGACATCACTGAGCAGATCTGTCCCGTCCTGCTGGAGTCTAAGAGATGTCAGAACAGACTTAGATGTACATTTTTTTGTTTTGTTTTCCCAGAACTAAGCATGGTTATTATTTGTGCAACACGTATTCCTGGGGTGTTTTTATTCTACTCTCGGTGGATACACTTGTACCATATGACATCATAGTTTTCCGTAACCAGTGCCTTGTCCAGACATCGACCAGTGGAACAAGGTGATTGAGATTCTGGGCACGCCCAGTATAGAGTTTATGAACCGGCTGATGGAGACCGTGAGGAACTATGTGATGAACAAGCCACAGTATCCTGGCGTCAGCTTCGCGGAGCTTTTCCCAGACTGGGCATTCCCCTCAGAGTCCGAACATGATAAACTGAAGAGTAAGAGCTCTAACTCATCGGTTGTATTTCAAGTTTGTTAATAAACTCAAAAACACAAAATGAGTCAGTTTTCCTCCGGACTGCTTACGTGATGACAACCAGTTGTTTCCATAGTAACTCTCCCCTTCATGTGTTGCTGAAACAGCGTGCCAAGCCCGGGACTTGCTTTCCAAGATGTTGGTTATCGATCCTGAATGCCGTATTTCTGTAGAAGAAGCGCTCCATCACCCTTACATCCACGTGTGGTACGATCCCGGAGAGGCAGACGCGGTGAGGAGGCTGATGGGGAAACGTTTTATAAATGCAGCAGCTATAAATGGGATTATTGTGATTGATACATGTCCTTTTGTCTCTCAGCCTCCTCCCCAGATTTCAGATAAGCAGCTGGAAGAGAGAGAGCACACCATAGAGCAGTGGAAAGGTGGGATACTCTGCCCTCTAGAGGCACAAAGCAACACTACACTTCAGCTTCTTGGGTTTTTTGATGATTTATGCGTTTCCTTCACTACTAAGTTTTTAAGGAAAGGTTTTATTTACATTGAGTAATATTTATCATTTAATATTAATTTTTAATATTAGGAAGCCAATTAGCTCTGACTAGTGCACATGAGCAGGAGAGCCCAGATAAGACAAATCCAACTAAAGTTTCAATGGTTTCTTTATTCCTGTGGGGGTGATAAAAGACTTTAGTCTAATTAATGCCTATTCATTAACTCGGTCTCAAAGACACGACATCACTGACTATGTTTAGAAAGAAAGAGCTGATTTTACATCAGCGGCGTCAAACTCAACTTCACTGGAGATTCTTTTCATTAAATATGTCAATAATCTTTATTTCTCGTGTTTCTCATTTCATCGTCCCTCTGCCGTTTTTGCTGATTATTTTTTTAATTGAACATTTTAACACAGGTTGTGATAATTGTTTATAAAAATCCTTCAGCTTGCTCATTAATATTTATGATATGCACATATCTTGCCTCTGATTGGCTGACAGCAACATGACTCTTCTGCTGCCTCCATTCTCTCTTCTTTCATGGGTTGATGTTTTATCTCCACAAATAACACAAGCCTGAGCAAGTTCTGCTGTGTTCTGTTGCTAATGCTAGCACTTATACGAGCCGAGACCTGCTCTGCTCTTTCCTGGCCTTCAGCCTTCAGTGGTCTCAAGCCATGGTGAGCACGGCCGTGAATGCTTATTTACAGCATTACGTAGATCTGTGTGGCTTTTTCTGACCCAATCATTTCCCTATTTGTTTTCTATCAGCGGCCAGTGCAGGAAATAGGGGTAGAAGACTATTAACATGTTCAGCTTGCATGTGAAACTCCTATTTCAAAAGTAAAAAAAATGGTTTCTCAGTGCACCTCACTTTTGAGTTGATGCATATTTGGGATTAGGCTCTCAGGTTCTCAGGACCGTATCATGTAGAATCTCTAATCTGATTTTTTTCAGGAGAGTCGTGAACGCGACCTAAAGTTGCTGTGACCGACTCTGCCTCTCACCTGTAGACTGAGTCCTTCCTAACTTCATGAGTCAGCTTCTGCAGCTGGGGGAGGGGCAGCTGTTCTTTAGAAGGCTCAGCTTGTTCCAGTGCATTATGGGATTTATAGTTTTGTTGTTATTTATGTTGTTCTAATCTGCACAACTCAGTGGACAAAACATGTAGAATGTTGTTGTCTCTAATCTGACGTGCAGAGTTCCACATTCATGCTGAAACAATCAAAATAAAGCCACTCAGAACCTTTTCTGTCTACACAGAACTCATTTATGAAGAGGTGATCGACTGGGAGGAGAGGAACAAGAACGGTCTGATGAAAGAAGACAGCTCAGGTGAGTTCAGCCTCCATCAGGTGTGATTGGTAAGCTGATCTCACCAGGACCGCTCCAGCCATCCGTACCGTATGTTTCTGAACTGTCTTCTGTCATGTCTGTCTCAGATGCGGTGTCTGCCTCCACCTCCCAGTCCTCCTCTGCCAACGACATCTCATCCATGTCCACGGAGCACACCTTGGCGTCAGACACAGACAGCAGCAGCATCGACACGCTGACTGGTCCTCTGGATGAGAGTCAGTGAGCTCCACCATCGGCCCTCCCCTAGCAGTCCTCTGACCAATTTACAAAATATGTCTCAGCCATCTTCCGTTTTCATCCCCAGATCGGGTTTAAGCCTCTGTGAAAAGATTGTTTGGGACTGAAGCCAGGAGGTCTAACCCATCTGTTTCCTCTTCATGTTCTTGTTGAATGTTAATCTTGATCAAGTACACGCTCTTTGGTGTTTGCTTCCATATTGTTTTCAGGAGTAGCTTCACAGTGCTGCTGTATTTTAATAGTTTTATTTTTTTAGCTGGAGGTTTTTATAATCCACAGACGTCAGCTGCTCTCGTGCATGTTACGCCAAAAAGAACAAACACTTATCAACCATATCCGGTCGATCAAACACGGATCTCAAATGATGGTTTTCTGCTAGCGTGTTAAAAGTATCACAGGTTCCAACTGTGGGGCTTTTGGCACATCTGCTCGTTTATAAACTGGCTTGTGTGATGTGGATTATGAGCTTTTACTCCCAACAGCTAGGAGGTGCTGTGGCTTCTGTGTGATATGACGTACTGTATGTAATGACGTCATACAAGTTAAAGAGCCAGAACAGGTGCGCCCGTCCTCTTCGCAGGTAGAAACCTTACGGTACCACCTGTCACCTGATCCTAAACCTGTAAATCTAAATGAGGCATAACTTTTTGACATGTATTTATTTTTTGATTTTCTCATGCTAAATTTTGCACACAAACCACACTGAAGCCCAAGAAACATAGAGGCTTCCTGTTAAAGCATTTAATGGATGAATTAAAGCATGGGCCACTCTTCTCTAAATCATTCCCTTTAGTGCTGGAAAAAATAAATCATAACATCTAAGAACACGTAGATGACCAGAATCATGTTCCACCTGCATGAAGGCATGGCACCTATAAGGAAAACGGATCAGTGAACACATTCAGGTCCGATTTACTTTCATGCTTTGTGGTTCCGAGAGCTTGACTGCAAATTCTTGTTTTTACTTTTTTCCTGAATTGTAATTCTTTGTTTCTTTGTGATATCAAAATGTACCTTTGAGACGGCGGTCGCTCTGTACACAAAGAGTCTGGATGACGACTGTGGAAGAACCTTTGGAGCGGACTACAGAGCTGCTTTTTTCAGTGACTGAACAGAGACGCGACACAACGGAGTCACAAGGACTCGTGCATCATGTTGTACACAACCATAACTTTATTCTTTCTGTTAAGCCTTAAATAATTTGATGAGTGGCCAAGTTCTCCAAAAGCTCAGAGATGTCCGGTGTGATCGCCATGACAACAATACTATCATCCCCCAGTCTTTCACCCCTACTCAGACTAATAAAGTGGACTTCAGTGAGACTGTTGGTTTAATTCTTTATGAGACAGTTTAAAAAAGAAAGATTCATTTGGTGACATGCTAGAATTTAAGACTAATCTCAAAAGCTCTTGACGATATATTCTGTCTTCTTCGCCTCGTTGTTGAGTTCTCCAAAGGTGTCGAAGAACTGCTCCATCTCCTTTTGCAGCGTGGTGTTTCGGAGCTCAGCCGCAGCGCGGGCCCTCTCAGACTCCACAATCTTGGCCTGGACCACCTGGTACCAGTGTCGCTGCTGCGAGAGGTTTGTCTTCAGGTGGACAACCTCTACCTGCAGCTCTTCGTTTCTTTGCTCCAGGCTGATGACAAAGACGGGAGAAAGAGCAGACTGAAGTTCAAAGTTTGGTGTCCAAATCTACCAATGAGTAAATGTTCACGGTTAGAGATTAAATGCACTTATTTGGGATGTGAATTTCATTAATGTGTAGCTTTTGATGACTTTTTAATTTTCCTTTTTTATAGTCAACTTCAAAGATCAGTCAAAAGGAAAATTGAGGTGCATACATTTGAGTTTCTGGGTGGATTTTCTCTTCCGTGGTCATATTGTACATAAACATGCTCAAATATATGTCCATTCTTTGATAATAGGTGCTGGTGGTGTCTTGACAAGGTCATAGTTCACCAAGGTCTGATTAGTGATCACGACTGACAGCATTGCAGCTTCTCTTTGTTGGTATAACAATTATTTTATCATTTGATTAAACAAAACTCATGCATCAACGTCAAATAGAAACTACTGAGTCACGATAGGAGCCCAGGAAATAAAAGAGGCACCTTCAAACCCAACCAAAAAAGACAAGTCACATGTCTCCTGGAGAAACGTTTACTGCACAGATGAGTCAACTCTAGGGCCACACTGAGACTAAAGTTATGTTTGAAGGTGAGAACATCGTACTGACTGTTGGACATGGTGGTGGTAACATCATGATGTGGATAGAAGGAAACAGCATGGCCTCTACATGTTACCTTTAACACAAATTATCAACTCTACCAGGAGGAGGATCTCAAAAACACCAGAACTGGTCTGAATGGATGGAGCAGTCGGTTGGAAACACATGAACTCTGCTAAAAGCCAAGTTCATGACAGGAAACCAAAGATCAGATTTGAAATAGTGATGCTATAAAGATTGTACAGCAGAGGGACTAAATTAAACCCCCGATTACACTTTCACCCACTTGTCTTGTTTTTAGATCCCTGCCTTCTTCCCTTTTGCAGGTCAAAAAGCTTCTCCGCTTGTTTAACTGGAATCATCTTTTGGTTATAATTTCTAATTTATGAATATGATTACATTTTTCAGCAGTGCATCTACCTCTCTTCTCCCTGGTCTGTGTCAAACCAAACCCTCCTTGTCCTCACTAGCGAGACCCAACGTGTGACCTTACTCTGAGACATGCTCTATCTATATCAGTAATAAATGGGGTATGTGTTGTGTCTAGGTCAGCAGCATGGACCCTTAAATTAGCTCTCTTTCCAATGTCGAGAGCTGTTTTCTATATGTCAGCTGAGCTTTCTCTCCCCACGCCTCGCACCAACCAGCTGTTTGCTCGAAAAATCAGTGGAGAAATGCTTCAACTTTTAATACGATCTGTGTTTTAAGATAATCATATCGGATTAGATTTGTGCCAATAGGATCAAGAAAAGCACTTTGAAGATCAAACAAATATTAAGACATTGAGAGAAAAAAAATGTTTCAAAAGAAAAACTTACAATCTGAATCAGATTCTTAAAATGATCAAGAAAAACACTTTGATGGTCAAACAAAAATTAAGAAATTGATAGAACAAAAATATTGACTAAAGGAAAAAACATGTTTCAAAAGTAAAACTTACTATCTGAATCAACTTCTTAAAATGAGTTACAAAGAATGTTTCCTTTTTCTGTTTGCCTCTATGTGTTTTTGTTATCAGTTTCCTTAGTTTCATTCTCACTGCTCACAGAGCTTTGCTCTCACTACCAGATTTGCACTTACACTTTCTGGCTTTCTCCTTTGCAATCCCTGAGTTTTTGGTTGCAATAGGCTCTATGCACGAGTCATTTCCGTGTTTTACATAAGGCCGCACCCTCACTTCCGGTCAGGAGAATAAGCCGGTGTAATGGCAGATACTTTGCAGTTCACTCAATGTTTGTTGGAATTACCACGATTTACAGTAAACGATGTGCGGAGAATTGTATGAGGATGCAGTACAACACCGCAAAGTAAACTGGAGAAAGGTTTTAGGTTTTATGTGTCCTCGTATCTCTGCATTTATGAAGGTAAGTTGCTAAAGCTAGCGAAAACTAGCTACTCGCTAGCTGACTAATGCATGTGTATCCTCCGTATGCTAAGTTAAGACCTCCTGTGTCTTGGGCTATCTTCTAAATAAACATAAAAACGATGTCCCCAGTTAATATTTTTGTACTTTTTTTTTCAAATGTCAGTGAGAAACCGGGCCACCAGTGAGATCTCGGTTAGAGCTCACTGCTATCGGTCCATGAAGAAAGCAGCCAAACCACACCAGCTGAGAGTAGGCTTTGCAGTGAAGATTGTTGAACATGTTCTGATTTTCACTGTTATACCATGTTTCAGCTTGGACAAAAGGTGTGATAAGTTGCTTATCTTAGCAAATAATGGATATATGTTGAGAATTATAAAATATGATACATAAATATTGATAATAGACTTGAGCCTGAAAATAAATCCCAGCTGAAACGGTGGTTATGCAGTGTTGCAGTAGCTGAGTGAAAAGGTTCTGATGGTTTAAAGTCAGTGCATGCAACTAAAGTCAAAGTTAAACGATTATATTATCTGTTAAATGAAAATAAATATTTTATAAAAAATAGAGCAATGACCATCCATTCACTCAGCTTTTCAGCTGCTTATGTTCTACCTCAAATCTGTCTGTCATCTTTTTATTTTCTAGCTTTATTGTTCATTCGTATACGTACATAATGAGTTATTTTAAGTTCATTGACAGTATTTGTTTGTGTGTATTTCAGATTACTTTATGTGATTCTGATCCAGTTGTGCTGGTTACCAGCTCATGCTCCTGTGTGGCTGGAATTGGGCTCTGTGACCATTTGGTTGCATTGCTTTACCAGACAGCCCATTATTCAGAGTGTGGGATGTCTGCTGTTCCTCCTGTCCTTTCATGCACCGAGACAGAACAGAAGTGGCACAAACCTCGAACAATGGTTTGTATATAAAATTAGAATATCTGAAAGTAATGCTATGTTACAATGTGGTTAAGAGACATGATAAAACGTGTAAAGCTAATTTTTTACCCAAATTTACTTAGCTATAATTTTGATTAGTTGTGTGATGTGAGTGTGTGGAACCAAGAGAAAATCCCTTGATTGCATAACAAGGAAACTTATTCTGCTTCTGCTTCTATCCAACACTAAATAGGGTGTGAAACCAGGACCAGTAGATCCCATGGTGGTAGTGAAACCCAAACCAGGTGCTACTTCATCAAGTGGAGTTAGATAAGCAAACTGTGTTTACATGCAGCCAATAACCCATTCAAAACCGGGTTATTACAAATAACATTGTTGGGGTTATTAGGTAGCAAATAATTAGTAAGCTTCTACTTACTTTTGGATTCTTCAGTAAATTCTGTAAATATGGGAATATTTACACGAGTTATTAATTAAGATACAATTAAGTATCTACGGGGCACCATCCCCTTTAACCGGGGAAAAATTGAATCCAAAACTCTTATCAGTCTATCTTAAAGATGTGAATCCTAGGAGCAGAGATTTCTAGTCAACACAAGAAGTCGCTTGAGACAAAAATCTGAATTTTATAACATTTAATTAAACAAGGAGATTAATAATGTAAAACAATGGTATAATTGAAAATGAGTGTAAAATGGAGGATGACCCCACATGATGGATTTGTTTCAGTGGTGAGTCCCCACAAACACAAAAAAAAAACACGTATGAGTGTGTGTGTGTGTGAGTGTGTGTGTGTGTGTATGAAATCAATGAAAGCTTTGTTTTCCCGGAGCAGGTGTGCGCGTGCTTGTGAGTGTGTGTGTGTCTGATAAGGCTGGAGGAATGAGCTGTAAGTGTGTGTGGGGCTCTCCCCCTCCCTCTCGCATACACAGGAGAACTTAGTGTCCAGTTCTCAACTTTCAGTTAGTGGCTTAAAAATCACAGTAATCTAACTTTAACACTTCAAAAGTTTAGACTCTTAAACAACAAAGGTCACTCGTAAATTATTTAATCTAAACATAGTCGGCAGCCTGGCCACAGCTTACCGACAATACCAGATCAAATAAACAATAAACGGACCTTACTTCACGATAGATATATGCGTATTTGGTCACGGAGAAAGAGAAAAACCGTCTGATAATTTGAAGCAATAGCGGTGTAATTGCTTATTGTGAACTATAAGAGACGAGAAAAGGTAAAAGTTTAAATGAAATAAAAACTTGCAGGAGATAACAGCTGTTCCGGAGCAAAGCAAGGCGTCCCTTGTGTTCCCTGATCAGATGTGATTTCCTCCGTTGTTCACTCACGAGGGTCTCCCACTGGGCTGGAAGAGAAAGAGCGAAGTTTCTTTTTGTGCTGATGTGATGACTTACAGCGTGAGCTGGATGGAGCTGGAGCTGCTTTCCAGCGGTTCGGTGTTTGATCTGCTCACTTTGATCGGAGCGTGCAACGAGCGTTCTTTACAGCCAGCGAACTGGACATGAGAACAGTTAAGTTTCGTTTTTCGCTGAGATTTATAACCTCCAGCTGGTTGTTGTTGTAGTGGTTCTGCGCATGTACAGAACCCCTGCTCAGCCTTGGCGGTGACGTCATCACATTTCTTCCGTGTGCAAAGCATCATGGGAAATGAAGTTTCTTGGCGCTGATGTGATTATTTGCTTTTTCAGAGCAATTTAGCACAGTCTTTTGGAGAAAATTACCGCAGCAATTTCTCACGAGGGCATACCCTCAACAACATGGTTCCACAAGGCCATGTAAACACCAGCAAAAACTGGGTTATTACCCCTGGGGTAACCCTTTTCTAACCTGAATATCAGGTCATGTAAACGTCTATCGGGATAACCCTTTCATAAGGTGCGCTCTGCGCATGTTCTATTCACAATTCAATTCAAGTTTATTTATATAGCGTCAAATCACGACAAGAGTCGTCTCAAGGCACTTCACATAATAAACATTCCAATTCAGGTCAGTTCATTAAGCCAATCAAAATAATGTTTCCTGTATAAGGAACCCAGCAAATTGCATCAAGTCACTGACTAGTGTCAGTGACTATACAGCAATCATCATACTAAGCAAGCATAAAGTGACAGTGGAGAGGAAAACTCCCTTTTAACAGGAAGAAACCTCCAGAGAATCCTGGCTCAGTATAAGCAGCCATCCTCCACAACTCACTGGGGATCAAGAAGACAGAGCAGACAGACAGACAGACAGACAGACAGACACACACGCGCACACACACACACACACAGACACACACAGACACACACAGACAGACAAGTAATGTGTCTATAGTTATATTGTGATGTCTTAGTAAATATTCTATTTGGTGAAAGATAAATTTTATTGTATTTATCCTAGTGGATCTATAATTAAATGGATAAACTAGTAGTAGCACATCCAACGTCAAGGAAAGCAAAAAGTTATTATCAGGAGAGGGATAATGTTTTAGTGGTTAGCAGCAGTGTGCTAGTCGATGGCCCCCTCCATGAGGCCACCACAGCTCAGCAGAACATCGTTGTAGCTTCTTCTGGGGAGAAAAACACTTACAGAGAAAATAAAGTTAACAGCTGAAATTGCAGAAAATAGTACAGTTTAAGAGCACACTGTAGAAGAAAGCAGTAGAGTGTGAAAAGTGGTCAGTGTATCCTCCAGCAGTCTAAGCCTATATCAGCATAACTACAGAGATAACTCTGGATAATCTATCCTATTTAGATGGAGGCATGTTGGAGTCAGGGCAAGGGAGAGTCGTCTTTACCGACTGTACACTCCACCTCCCTGTACTCCCCCACTTGTCCAGATTTAGGCTAACGTCAGATTTTAACCATAGGCCCTATCAAATAAAAATGTTTTAAGCCTATTCTTAAAAGTAGACAAAGTGTCTGCCTCACGGACTAAAGCTGGGAGCTGGTTCCACAGGAGAGGAGCCTGATAACTAAAAGATCTGCCTCCCATCCTGATTTTAGATATTCTGGGAACCACCAGTAGACCTGCAGTCTGAGAGCGAAGTGCTCGGTTAGGAACATATGGAACAATCAGATCACTGATGTATGATGGAGCTTGATTATTAAGAGCTTTGTATGTGAGAAGAAGGATCTTAAAATCTATTCTGAATTTAACAGGTAGCCAATGTAGGGAAGCTAAGACAGGAGAGATATGATCTCTCTTTTTAATTCTCATCAGAACTCTAGCTGCAGCATTTTGGACAAGCTGAAGACTTTTAACTACATTCTGTGGACTTCCTGAGAGTAATGAATTACAGTAATCCAGTCTTGATGTAATAAATGCATGAACTAGTTTTTCAGCATCACTCCTGGAAAGTATGCTTCTAATCTTAGCAATATTCCGAAGGTGGAAAAAGGAAATCCTACAAACTTGTGAAACCTGGGATTTGAATGACATGTCCTGATCAAAGATAACACCAAGGTTCCTTACTTTGTGCTCGGAGATTAATGTAATGCCATTCAGGTCAGGTGATTGGCTAAGCAATTTCCTTTTCTGGATTTCTGGTCCAAAGATGAGAACTTCCGTCTTGTCTTGATTTAAAAGCAAAAAGTTTAGAGTCATCCAATTTTTTATGTCCTCAAGACAAGCCTGTAATCTACCCAACCGATTAGGTTCATCAGGGTTAATGGATAAATATAGCTAAGTATCGTCAGCATAACAGTGGAAGTTTATCCCATGCTGTCTAATGATTTTACCAATTGGGAGCATATATATAGTAAAAAGAATTGGTCCAAGCACTGAACCCTGTGGTACTCCGCAAGTAACCCTGGAGTATGAAGACGATTTGTCATGTACATTTACAAAATGAAATCTGTCAGACAGGTAGGATTTAAACCAGCCTAACGCTGCTCCTTTGATCCTTACAACATGTTCAAGTCTTTCTAAAGGAACATTGTGATCAACTGTGTCAAAGGCAGCACTGAGATCTAACAAGACTAGAACAGACACAAGATTCTTACCTGAGGCCATGAGAATATCATTTGTAACTCTCACTAATGCAGGTTCAGTGTTGTGATACTCTCTAAAACCAGACTGAAATTCCTCAAACAGAGCATTAGTGTTTAAATGCTCACATACTTGGATGGCCACTATTTTCTCCAGGACTTTGGATAAAAATGGAACGTTAGATATTGGTCTGTAATTCATTGGGTCATCTGGATCCAGAGAAGACTTCTTAAGTGAAGGTTTGATTACAGCAACCTTAAAATCTTGTGGTACATACCCATTTACTAAGGATAGATTGATTATATCTAGAATGGGGGCAGTGACCAAAGGAAATGCATGTTTAAATAATTTGGTTGGGATCTTGGTCTTTTGAGTAGATCATGGGTCTGCAAACTTTTTCCCATCAAAGGTCCATTATCACCAGTTTACCACAGTAATGAAAACACTGGGAGCGCAGCAGCCGCGGTGTTGTGGGCGGGTCTACCGGCCTGAGCAGGAGCTGCTTTTTTAACGCGCAAATGTCTCTTAAAACCTGTTTAAACTGTTTAGAACACAAATCATGGCTCTGTCTCGTTTGGATTGTTGTAATTAAACTTTGTACTGAACGAAACCTTACATTAAACAATTGAAAAGATAAGAAAAAGATCCGATCTATTCATTTTTTTCCTTAATTTACAGTAACAGCGCAGTGCGTATGGCTCCGGTGTTAATTGAGTTTAGAAGGTTTTATCTTTCTCTTTGCAACAATCTTCACAAGAAGGTAAAACAGTTAAATAGCAGGGTTCGTGTTGAACGGATAATTCCAGTATTTAACCGTTTCTTTTGATGGAAAACCTAGTGATGTGCCACTGAAGCCTCATGAAGCGCTTCAAAGCATTCCCAATCCCTACTGTGCCGATACATTGAGTGCGTTTACATGCAGCCAGTAACCCTTTTAAAACCCGAATATTCACATAACCCGGTTCCGCACGGCCATGTAAACACAGCTAAAAACCCGGATATGCTCATAACCGGGTTTTTAAAAACCCGGTTACTACACCTGGGGTAACCCTTTTCTAACCCGAATGTTTGGTCGTGTAAATGCATATCGAGATATCCCCATCAAAGCGTGTGTTCTGCGCATGCTCTGTTCGCAAGGAATCTTGGTCTTTTGAGTAGCGAGACGTCTTGTATGCGCCAGAACACCGGAAGTAAACAACAAGTTGGGAGCAACATGGCGAGTCGCTGCACAGCACCACACTTTTGGAGTGACGAGGAAACCTCTGTCTTCATCGGTCTGGAGAAAAGTATGAACATTATGTCTTTTGTTGACGGCCGAAAGTACAGAGACAGCGAAATATGACGCATATTGCGTCTTGACGTAGTCCATACGTCCTGACGCTACCCCAATGTCCGCATTTAAATCGGGTTATGCAAGTTAGGGGTAACTCTTTCTATTTATGCTTGTAAACAGGTTATTCTAATCAACCCAGAAACCCGAATACCGACCTTAACCCGATCATAACCCGGATATTGGCTGCATGTAAACGTAGTCACTGACTCGAGGCCTCAAACACATTAGTTGTGGCTCCATCTAGTGTTACAATGTAATTTTACAATGCATTAAAATGCTGTGTGTCTGAGGATATCATTGCAGGCAAAAGTGCATCAAATCTGATTTTATCTGAGTCTGAACAGCACAGATCAGATTTTGGGGGGGGGGGGGGGGGGTCCCCATGATTGAACTTAATACCAAACATTGTCAGTGAATAATATAGTTTGGGAAGACAATAATAATAACAATGAGAGGATTGAGAGAATGAGAATGAGAGAATACTGCCCTTAACCCGATCAAAACCCGAATATTGGCTGCATGTAAATGTAGTGACTGTTGTAAAAATGGTTTCTTATGCTCTGATATTTCAGATCAGCACTTTATAAAGGCTACAGAGGTGAGCTGCCAGACCCAGCAACTGTCACTAACGTGCCGGTGAGCGAAGCGGAGATGAGGTGAGGATGCAAACGGGGTGAGGAAGGCAGGCAGACAGGTAGGAACGTTTAACAATAACTTAAATCTGAAACACGCAGGACATAGAAACAATGATCCAACACGAGACAAAGAACTGAAGGGGTTTAAATACAAGAGGGTTGGGAACTTGGGTGATTGGAAAACGAGAGGCAGGTGGGAGCAATTAACAGAGACACTAGACTAAACCATAAGGGGAGACAGGACAGGATGTGACAGCAACCCTCAACCCGACTGCTGTCTACACTGACTTTGACCCTGACTCTCTTCCACTGATCTGTTCAATGAATATCTCACCTGACAAACCCCTTGTGGACTCCATCTTTGGTAAAGTACAGGCTGGCAGCATTCTATCCTACCAACATCCACCTCCTACATCTGATTGCGTTATCACCCACATGGATGCCCCACTGTTTCCAAAAGTGCCACTTGAAGACTATCACCTAAAGCCAACGGACTGTAAATATGTGCCAACAGAACAAGAACAGCTGCATTTGCAATCACTGTCCGTAACAAAGTCACAGTCACACAACACTGAAGAGTCCACACGAAACCAGAGTGCAGCACCTGAGTGGCATTCACTGAGGAAGGAGAGGGTGACAGCTTCCACTTTTAGGGAGGTAAGCCACGTTAGAGGTGCATCCACAGCTGAAAACCTGGCAGAGAGGATCATCCGAGGAAACGTCAAACAGCACTCATGAAGAGAGGACTGGACCTGGAGATGGATGCCTTGAAGGACTATGCAAAACTTAAAAACCTAAACTTGCAAAAATGTGGACTGGTAATTCATCCAGATGCACCATGGCTGGGTGCATCCCCTGATGGGCTCTAGTGTATGACCCATATGAGAGGCCACCATTTGGGTTAGTTGAAATGAAATGCCCAAATGCACAAAGTTACATTGACTGCAGTTACATCTCAGTTATTCATTGCATGCACAAACTAAAGGAAAGTCATTCTTATTATTCGCAAGTGCAGGGGCAGTTGCTGATCACTGGTATGGAGTGGTGTGATTTTGTTGTTTGTGCCAATGATGACATGTTTGTGCAGCGCATCTACAGAGACACACCTGTGTTAAATACCCTGCGGCACAGATGTGATTTATTTTTCTTTTATACATATTTGCCAAAATATCTCTGTGTCGCTAATCAAAATGCTTAAACTGGAGCTGGGTGAATGAATTCATGATGCATTGTTTAATTTCATTTGTTTAATTTTGATAGTTCATGTGATTCCATTCAAATATTTGTTTCGAAACATAAATAACACATTAAATATGCACATTTGTTTTTTTACAATTGAATGCATCACACATATACTTTGTTACATTTAAAATCACATTTGACTTCTGAGGGTCTGTTTTTCTAACATTAAAGTTAATCCATGCACACACATCTGTTTCTGGTGTTTTAACTATTTCCATTCCATGCATTTAGGACGGGGGTGGGCAATTCTGGTCCTGGAGGGCCGCTATCCAGCAAGTTTTAGTCATTTCTCTGCCTAAACTCACCTGGTTTGAATCTGCTGGTGATTAACAGGCTGCTGTAGAGCCTGATGAGCTGCTGAACAGGTGGTTCATCCAGGAATCATGTGTGTTGGGAGCAGGTAAACCTACTCACTTAGATAATTATTCAGTCAGAGTTGCATCATATAATCCATTCGTTTCACTGAAAATGGAGCAGGCAGAACTATGAACTTGTTTAGCCCGTCCAAGTAACATGGAATAAAAATGAATATGTTAAGATGAGTTTTTAATACGTCTCTCTGGAACAATAGACCATTGTCCTGAGGCTAGCACAATGGCTTGCTTAGCAGCTAGCTAGTTAGCTAACGTCTGGTTAAAACCAACTTAAAAAGTGGCTTAACTTACAGATTAACTAAGAAAAGATAAAATATATTATCAATACTCACTTTAGATCCTCAGTAGACACCACAGACAGCAGAAATAATGTGTTTGGGGCTCAAAATTCATGTTGTTGACCAAGGTGGAAAAAAAATGTCTTGGAGGCTACATCACTTCCGGGTCACTGAACTGTCACTCAAGCCACTGTCCTATGGGAGAGGGCTTCTCAGAAGTCCCACCCACCCGAAAGGGTTGTGTCAGAATTGCAACCAAAAACTCAGGGATTGCAAAGGAGAAAGCCAGAAAGTGTAAGTGCAAATCTGGTAGTGAGAGCAAAGCTTTGAGCAGCGAGAATGAAACAAAGGAAACTGATAACAAAAACACATAGAGGCAAACAGAAAAAGAAAACATCCTTTGTTACTCATTTTAAGAAGTTGATTCAGATAGCAAGTTTTACTTTTGAAATACCTTTTTTCCTTTAGTCGAAACATGTTTTTTCCTTTAGTCGAAACATGTTTTTTCCTTTAGTCAATATTTTTGTTCTATCAATTTCTTAATTTTTGTTTGGCCATCAAAGTGTTTTTCTTGATCATTTTAAGAATTTGATTCGGATTGTAAGTTTTTCTTTCTAAACTAATGTTTTTTCGTTCAATGTCTTAAAATTTGTTTGATCTCCAATGTGTTTTTCCTTGATCTTATTGGCACAAATCTAATCCCATATAATCACTCGCCTCTGGGGATGTGTGGGAAAATTCAACCATGTGACCTAAACAGGATATAGGGTTGAAGCTGAGAGTCAACTGAGGAATTAAAACAGCACAATCTAACACACGCACAGACACACACACACACACACACACACACACACACACACACACACACACACAGAGTGATAATCAGGCAGGATAACTCTTGAGTTTCCAAAGTTTTACATAATTTGAAATAGTTCTTTAACTTAACTGTCCCTTTACATTAAAATTAATTACCTGACCAGTCGGGCTTCGTACTCCTCCCTCTGCCTGATGATCTGCTGTTGGAGGCCGGTGAGGAGGCTCCGTAGAGCACTAGCTGATGGGTCAGCGAGGGGAACCGGAGGAGGCGTCTTCGGGTGCTTGACAGGAGGCCACAGGCAGTCTGTTTGGCTCAGCTGGTCCTCCTGCACAGACTCACAGGGTCCAGAGTCCAGCTCTGGATCCTGTTCCTGCTCCTTGTCCTGGTCTGGGTTCCAGTCCTGCTTACTGGAACAACCTTTATTGAGGAAGACTTCACAAGAAGACCAGGGGCTCTTGTCTATACTTACAGCATCATTTAGGATCAGTTCTTCAGGAACTCTGTAGGCATATTCCTGAAGGCTTGTTTCCATATCAGAGACCTCCTGAAGACTCCCAATTAACCCAGTATCCATCAGATTATCGTAGAGAGACAGAGCACTTCGATGCTCCTCGCTCTGGGATGGGCTGTGGCTTAGATAAGCTCCATCCTCTGCTCTCCACTTGACTCCCTGCTGTCCTCTTACTTTGTTCATGCCCGAACTTGGATCTGACTCCCAGGCCTGTCCTCCCAGGACGCCTGTGCAGCTGCAGTAGCTGTGATCTGGCCAGAGTTCAAGCCCTCTTCCTCCACCAACCACTGTCTGAACCTCAGCCAAAGCAGGGACCAAACCCGACTGAGGGCTGCTGGGCTTCGAGGGTCTGGTTACTACAGGACACACAACTTTAATCTCTATTTCCTTCTCCCTGGCCTTGTCTCGCTGGGCAAAGGGGGGGCAGTTGTCGTACAGGAGATCCGTGGAGCAGGAGCTGGCTGTTGTGGGGCTCCCAGTAGGAAGACAGTGCAGCTCCATGATCCGAGCAGGCACATGGGCGTGCAGGGAGCCTTAGATAACCCTCCCCTTTTCTGTCTGCGGTCACTTGGGTTTCAGGGTTTGGATTAGTGTCATGGAGCTTCTCATGTGTTGATGTGTAGCTGACCAGGAGAGGAAGGAGCAGGAGTCCTCCTCCTCCTCCTCCTTTTGGATAGTGCTCTCTGCTGTGCCTGCACTGCTGGAATAGGTTGGGGTGTGTGTGTGTGTGTGTGTGTGTGTGTGTGTGTGTGTGTGTGTGTGTGTGTGTGTGTGTGTGTGTGTGTGTGTGTGTGTGTGTGTGTGTGTGTGTGTGTGTGTGTGTGTGTCTTTAAGCAGGACTGACATCAGCTGTTACTTTAGCAGCTTCTGGGGGCGGAGCCAGGATGTAAGACGGCCCCCTTCATTCCCAAAGACAGTCACACATACCTTGGACCACAGAAATAGATGGTGGTCCACAGAACAAATTGTGAAACACATCCAATGAATCTGCAAACAATATTAGTGCAGTACCATCTGACTGATCTTACGCTTAAAGTTGAGGTTGTTTTTTTTTTTACCATCTTAAACTTGTAACATTTAAAGAAGAGCTTTAATAGTTACTTTGCTATTCTGTCCATTCCCAGTGTAGACTGGACTCCTCCAGTGCTGTCCCTGGTCTCTGATCCTGTCTGTGGTGTTGGAGGTCAGGGAGCCACATGGAAGAATGGTATCTGGTTTGGAGATGATGGGGTTCTGTTATGTCATGACATGAATTGGGATAAATGGGATAAAGGTCAGCTCCACTGGAGTGAAGAGGAGGAAAAGGGGTGTGAAGTAACGTTGGAGTCTTGTTACTGATGGTAGTGTAATGTCCAGCAATGGTCAGTTTTATGTACAGTTTGACCCTTCAACATCTGGTCAAAATGGAGACATGAGACTGCATGTGTTCCCTTTAAATCACATATGTCAGAGTCAAGGTCTTATGTGGCCCGCGAGATAAATATCAAAAATATATTAAAACTGGCCCGCTGGCCGATTTTACCGCAAAGACTTCAACTCCCATGATGCTTTGCGGCGTCAGCGCGGAGCCGACGAAGCCCCCTCCTTTGTGTTTTTCCAGCGCCTGCTGCCAGTGTCTGCAGCTCCGCTGTCTCAGACAAACTAAACACTCCTCTCACTCAGCGCCGAGTTCACTCAGCTATTTTCTGACGTTGAAGCCCAGAAACGGACATTCTAGCCGCTCAGTAATGTGTTCACGACTGAAAGAGAAAGTTTTCCCACTAACGTTCAGACAAAGCTGATATAACTCCAGCGAACAGCGACATGCTCAAACCAGCACGACTCTGTGGCTTCTGTAGTTGTGTTTCCTCCCCGACACACAACAACGTGGTCAAGCTGCTCAGACATGTTCATCAGCACAAACCTATGTGAGCACCTGTTGTCATCTAATGTTGACATTATTATGATGAAGATGAACAAAACAACAGGAGTCTCCTCCTCAGCTCAGATCAACCCCATGATATCTGGCTGGAACAGGTGAGCATCACAGTAAACCAGTGGAACAAACTGAGCTTTAAATATGTTGGTTTTATGCTCTTTTTCTGCTCCAAAACATGAAAGTTAACAGGTGAGATGTTGCATTTTCATTTAAGATAAAATGATATTTTTATTTTGTTGTTGGCACGTGAGAAAAGATTTAACCTACAGTAAACAGGAAGTGGAAAGGCTGCAGATAGATGAATAGAATAGAAAATCCCTTTATTGTTCCTCAGTGGGGAAAGCTAGATGTCACAGCAGCGATGACACTTATTACAGGAGAAAAAAAGGAGAATAAAAAATAAGAAAAATGAATAAACAAGAAAACAAAAATCCTGAATAGATTTTAAAAATGCTGATTATACCACAAGTAATGAATACCACTGATGCCTTTTATTTAAAACTGACTTGCTCGTGTGTATTTTGGTTATTCCACATTCAGTGTTAATACAGAAATATGTTTGTTTCCAAATTTAAAGGTTCAAAATTGCATATATGTTGATAAAGAAAATGTGCAAATTTGCCGTCGCTTTTTCAAAAATATTAAGTTTGGCCCTCGACTCCGTCCCAGAGTTTCATTTCGGCCCCTTGTGAGTTTGAGTTTGACACCCCTGCTTTAAATCGACCTGCCTTCATCCCATCAGCTGGAGCTCAGAGCCTCTCTGCATCTCTGAACACAACAAACTGTCAACAATGATGTTCCCTCCTCAAGGTCAAGCTTCCCTTATCGTCCTATAGGATTCTTCATGCCTTCAAATAAGGAGCACTCACAGCTCGGATTAGTTGCTAAATCAAAGAATGGTTTCTTAAATTAAATATGAACTTCTAAAACTTATAAGCTAGATAATCATTAAATAAACGTTTGTTTATAGCTACTTATAATAAGTATAGTATAATGAAATGTTTCATTAATCTGTGGTCAATGATTAAAGTTTGAAATGAGTATTATTTTGTGATTACATTGATTGATATGGCAAGGTCATCACCATTTGCACTCACACAAGGACAAAGTAAAGTTAAGTCAAACGCGTGACACATAGATAGCCCTTTACACCAGATCAGAGCATCTGGATCAAAGAAGGCATGTTTCTGAGTTGTCATTCCTCAACTTGTCAACCTCTGGTTGGCTACACAAATCATAACATGAGAACATTAAAACTGGATCCCTCTGGTGATTTATCAGTTTTTATTTATTTAGTTAGTTAGTTTTTTTTAACCGTGTCCTGTCTGGCTGTGAAGCAAACAGAATTAATGTCTGGATGCTGGTGACAAGCCTTACAGATTTACTCTCAGGTGGATCATCAAAGCTTCTGCTTTTAATGTCACGCCTGATACTTAAAACTTTATTGTTATTGTTTTTGAATGCTTTGTAATTCCGACCAGACACGGAGACAGAGGTGAAAGAGAAAGGAAGAGACAAGGGGGGGGGGGGGGGGGGGGGGGTCCTCAAAGACAAACAATCAATGATGAACAAGAGTCTACTTCTAGACTTGCAGAAGGAGAGAGAGAAAAAAAAAGAAAAAGAAAAGGGACACACAGCAGTATAACAGGAGCAAGCTATCACTGCATCAACCTGATGAGGAAATATAAAATCAGCATTGTTTTACTGAACAATCATGATAATAAATCACAGTGCATTAAGTGCCAACCACAGCCTTAAGACATGTGTTGAACGTGCCCAAGTCCATACTTATGAGAGCACCATGTGAGCACCTGTGTGCATACCTGTGCTTGTATATGTAAAGTTTGTCTACATGAGCATCCAATAGAGAGTGTGAGGGGCCATAGATCTGCCCCCCAAAGATGCGTAGGAGAAGGAAGGAGCTCCAAGTCTCAGAGATCCAGGAGCTGCCCCAGAGCGCAGGAGCCCCAGGGAGACTGCAACCAGAAAAGCCCCTGCTCCCCTTGAGAGGCGCGGAGGATTGCCCCGGGGGCCACAACCAGCAGCCGGCAGAGTCTGGGGGATATCAGCGACAAGCCCACAGGCCCGCCCACAGCCTCCCACCCTCAAGCCGGCCGAGCCCGGAACCCAGCAACCCGGGACCCAGGGGTGACCAGCCCCGCCGGGAACCCAACAGAGCCCAGGGGCCCAGATCCCACCAGGCAGCCACCGGGATTAATCAGGCAGACGCTAAAAATTTAAAAACCCCTGACCCCGGAGCCGCGAACACTCAGGCAGACCAAGGCACCACACTCCACACCAAGTGTGACAGGGAGAGGGGAGGCAAAGATTTACAGCAACAAAAGAAGTCCCAGGAGAGGGGAGGAGTCAAAGGCCCCACCTGACACATACAGTCATACACAAACACAGTCACACACTCCCTCCCTCATGCTCACACATACACATACAATTTGACTCACAAAAATGCATGCCAGACACCCACTCATGCTCCCCATACAAACCCTATTCACTCTGGTCCCGGTACTGCTGCACATGGGGTACAACCATCACCGGTTCCCAAAGTTTGACCCTTTCTGCTGGGGTGCTGATGAGCAGGCTCCCCTGCCCAACGCCGAGCAAAGCGACCCACCACCCAGACCCCAGCCAGATGGCCAGATCCCCCCTCCTAGCCCCGGGAAGCCAAGTGACAAAAGAGATGTGCTAAGACCCCTAGTCACCCTCCGCCTGCTCCAATACAGTGATTGTGCGTGTTGATGAGGTGTATTTGTGGCTGTGGTGAGCGGGCAGTGAAGGCATTGTCTGGCCTATGCCAGCTGATGCCACCACACCACCCCTCTTCCCCCCACAGCCCTCTGTGTCTAAGTGCAGATTAAAATTGGAAGTGGGCACCGGCATCTGGGATGAGGCTGAAAGATCCCCTTGCCAAATGCCGTTGTATGTGTTTGCATGGAATGTTGTTGGTGGAAGTGTTTAATGTGCAAATAAAATGGGTGGGTGGGTGGGTGGGGGGGGGGGGACTAGGCTGCCTCAGGAATGCGGAAATGGGGTCCATACCCACACCCCCTGACTTGTCCACCTCCCAAAGTCCTATGTGCATGTTTGTGTGATGATGTGAGTGAGCAGAAGGAGAAAAAATTGTGGGGATGGGGAGGAATGGCTGGTTGGCCAAAGCTCTCCAGGGAGCCAGCTCCCCCACTGGCCCCAATAGGCACCTCCGTTGCCAAAATGCCACCCAGGGCATGGAGACCCCAGCCCATCTTGCCAGGGCCCAAAGCAGCAGCATTGCAGAGCTCCACGGACTCCGAGGAAACCAACGCAGCCCCACCCCAGCAGAATATCTACTCTCATCCCTGCATTTGCGCAGCTTCCAGAATATATAAGACATGGGACATCCAGGTACGGTTGGGTCCTCCCCCTCCTGGGCATCCCCCTCCCCCGTGATGGACAGCAGAGGAGCCAAGGTCTACCCGAGGTCCCTGAGCCCAGGCCAGGCTCTGCCGCATGTTCCCGCCTTCTTCCCAGCAGCATATATGTCAGGACTCGATCCCCAAGGCCCCACCCAGATCCCCACACGGGGCAGGCCAACCCCACACCCCGTGCCCCCACTCAGACCTACTCAGGGGCATTGCAGCCACCAGGCAGCAACCCATGGCCACCGCCAAGACTCCCAAGGGGCCCCACTCACAACCGCCAGTAGTCCACCCCCCGAGGCAACCCAAGCACCTCCAGAGGGGGGCAGCAGCCCCCCAGCCCCAGACACCCCCGGTGTAGCCACCCTCAAGGAACGTCCGGATACTCCAAACTCAGACCCTCCACCCCACTACCCACATCATCCCGCATGACAATATCAATGACCCCCATCATTGCTATGTGATGGTCCGATCAAA